CCACAGACCCTCAGCCAGTGGCCCCACCATGGGCCCCCCCCCCAGTCCCCCAGAACCCAGGGGCTGTAGACGGCTCATGACTCGTGTGGAGATCGCGGACCTCATTGAGGTTTGGGGGAGGCCCCCAATGTCCATGATCTCTGCACTAGGTGGAGGAATGCGGCCGGCTATGGCCGCATGGCCAGAAAGGGACACAGGCGCACCCAGGAACAGGTGCTCCTGAAAGTCAAGGAGCTGCAGCAGGCATGTGCCAGGGCCACCAGGAGCAGTGCCGCAGCAGGGGCTGCCACCTGCCCCTACTTCCTCACCCTCGACCAAATCATGGGGGGAGGGGGAGGGCGATCCGTGCCAGCCCAGGAGGCAGCGAGATGGGAGCTGAGGGCCCTGACTTGGGCACAGCAGAGGAGCCACCACCAGCTGTCCCGGCACCGGAGTCAGCAGGGTTGTCCAGAGAGGCCATACCAGGTAAGTGCCAGCACTGTCCCCTACCCGGGGAGGAGGCGGAGAGGGAGACCAGGGACTGCACGCGTGGGCCATGCCTCCCACGGATCATGCAGCCACCTGTGCACATGCAAGCACATGCCATGCCACCCTTGGGCAGGTGGCTCCAGCTGCTTGACACCCAGGGGCCGTGGCCTGATAGGCACGTGCGTGTGTGAAGAGATCTGACATGCTCCCGACCCCATGGTGGGACCGAGCAGGACGCCCTCCCTTCACATGCCCCCCCTACACAGAGGCAGGAGACATCTCCCCCCCGCCTCAGCCACACTATACATGGCACCGGGGCATGGGTGCGGTCTCGGGGCAGCTCCCATTCCCAGGGAGAGCCAGACATCCTGAGCATGGTCTCTGCGCAAGCACATCGGCTCTGATGGTGCAGGGCACGTCCTCACCTCTCAGGGGGTGCTGGGCATCATCCACTGCATCCTCAGGGAGAACTGACCGCTCTCCTTCTTTCTCCACAGCCACACCAGCTGCATGTGCAGGGCGCACCACCCCACCTGGGACATGCTCCTGCACCTGAGGGCTCCCCCGGACCACCAGCACGTGGTAGGGGTACCAGGACCAGCACCTGGGGGCCCTACAAGCCCTGCTCCATGCCATCCAGGCCTGCCCCGTGCCGCCCCAGCACCTGCTGCCCCCCCAGCTACTGTTCCTCTTCCCGCTCCTGCCCCCCGCACCTGCCATTCTGGGAGACATGTGGCCCAAAGAAACCCCCACCCCTGAATGCTGAGCTTCCTCTCCCTCTTCCTCCCCTTGCTTCCCCCTTCTAGCTTCCTCCTCCCAGTTTTCCCCCTCCCCCCTCCTCCCGCTTCCTTTCCCCAGTCTCCCCAGAGTTTCATTCCTCCTCCCCAGTTTTGTTAAATAAAGACAGTTGGGCTGTGTCTAGACTGGCAAGTTTTTCCGCAAAAGCAACTGCAAAAGCTGTCTATACTGGCCGCTTGAATTTGCACAAGAACACTGATGATCTAATGTAAGATTGTCAGTGTTCTTCCGCAAATCCTATACTGCTCCTGTTCGGGAAAAAGCCCTCTTGCGCAAATGCTTTTGCACAAGAGGGCCAGTGTAGACAGCTAAAAACTGTTTTGCGCAAAAAAGCCCCGATGGCGAAAATGGCGATTGGGGCTTTCTTGCACAAAAACCGCGTCTAGATTGGCACGGATGCTTTTCCACAAAAAGTGCTTTTGCGCAAAAGCATCTGTGCCAGTCTAGATGCTCTTTTCCGCAAATGCTTTTAACGGAAAAACGTTTAGCATTTCCGTTAAAAACATTTGCGGAAAATCATGCCAGTCTAGACGTAGCCTTGATGTTTATGGAAAAAATGTGTATTTTATTTGACATCAGGAAGGGGGGCTAAGGAGGGTTAAGTGAAAGGACGTGAAGGAGGAATGGGGCATGCACCCCTGGTGGGAAGGACCAGGGTGGCTCTGAGGGCTCCTTGAAGTGGACGCTCTCCCACAGGGCCCGCTGGATCCTGACAACCCCCTGATGGACCTCCCGGATGTCAACCTGCAGCAAGTGCAGATGAGCTGATGGCAACGACCCCACAAGACGCACCGGTATGCCCAGGGACAGGTTTGGTTCCATGTTGCAGAGTGCTGTGGTGTCCCAAGTGAGGGCAAGCAGAGCACTCCAAGACACAAATGCTTTGCTGTCCCTCAGTGAGGTAGAGCAGCAAGCAGAGAAACCTGAGAACTGTCTGTCTATGATGGAGGGTCGGGTTCCTTTAAGCACACACCTCAGATAGCATGTGGGGCTGCTGCCTCAGGCTATGTCCTAACCTGATGCCCTGCCGGCACTGGTTCCTGCCAGCCTTACCTTTGATTCAGGGTGCACTCAATGTGGATGCGCTATTTCAAATTAAAAAAATGCTATTTCGATTTAGTTTTTGTGTCTAGATACGTTATTTCGAATTAGCTTAATTAGAATTAACTAATTCGAAATAAGTTAATTCAAAATAGCGCTGTAGTGTAGACATACCCCCCACCGAAGCTGTTAGATTGTGGATGGCTAAAGAGAATATGAGAGTAACAGGGGAACTTGACCCAGGGCCTTCTGTCCTCTATCTGGGTGCCCTCACCACTGTAGTGAATACTCATTTTCTCTCTGTCTCTAGCCATGTCCTTTTGTATTTACTCACAGTGGTGCAACTTCTTCAGGAGAGACTGAGATAGGGATGTGGATGGGTAACGGCTATCAGTTAAGCATCACCCTTCCCAGTTGATGCTTACTGGGTAACGGTTTACCAGCACTCAACCACAGGCACAGGGCTACTCCACCAGGCCCACCACACTTCTGGCTGGGGCAGGAGCTATCTCCATGGGGCCACTATTCCCAGAAGACTGGCAGAGCCAGTAGGCCTGCAGGGCCAGTGGAGGCGGGAGCCCCGCCTGAAGCCAGGAGGGGTAGCCCTGTGTGAGGCTGGCAGCCACAGTCCCATGCGGAGCTGGCAGGGAAATGAACCTTGTCTTTCCCAGTTTTAGGCTAGTATCTGAACCACTGCTACCTTCTGCGACAAAACATCTGACCTGTGGCATACAGAAAAGCTATCATAGGTGGTACTATGGACGTTGTTGCTGTACTTTACCAGACATGTGAGAACTTGAGACACATATTCTAAGTGAGGCAAATAAAACAATGACCTGTAGATTGTACAAGGAAGAATTAAGAAACAGTTTGTCGTATGTCATGTACAAAGCAGTTTTCTTGGTGTGTGGTCCTAGGACTTTGTCAGATCTTTGAGATAACTCCTTTCAGGTGAACAAAAAATATCAGCCAAAAAGTTAATGTCAATTCTATAGAGCCTTTTTCAAATGTGACCACTGTACTGTATTCCAATGGCGCATTCCAGGAGGTATCTGTGAATCAAATGTTATGTATATGCCATGGTTTTATTTATATACTCAATGTAGATGTTGAGTATTTTTTTCCATTTTAAAATTGTTCTAGTTTAGTTTGGATAGACAGCAGTCCATTTTCAGGCTTTCATTCGGGTTCTGTGTAACCGATCAGTCAGGGTGGGCAATGCAAATATAAGGTTCTTGCACCTTACAAAGAGAAGAGACTGTTAAATGTACAGCCTGCTCTACCTATCTGCCTTCATCAATTCTTAAGGTCCCAGCACCATGCTATGTAAGCCAATAACTTTTCTTCTGTAAGAAGGCCGTATATTATTGAGCTGTCAATATGAAGTTGAATAATTTCTTGCCAGGAGTAAAATGAGTGACAGGTCATATGCTTAAACTTAGTGATTATGATTTTTAGTATCTTTACTGTATGGTGTAAATTATTAGTAAAGTGATGCTGTGTTCTCCTTCCTAGGGAGTAGAGGGTGAAGAGGGAAGCAAGAAGCGATTTACCTGTAATGCTACAATTTCACCACTCAACAATAAGTAATTCAATGGACAACAGTTGCAGAAGAGGGGGAGCATACCTACCCTGTCTGTCTTCACATATTCTCCCATCTAGTGGGGGGAAAACTCTGCTTTTCTTCCTAATGCTTTGTTCGTGTGTTGCTTGTTCATTAGATACAATGTACTTGAAAATAAGGTTGAAATGTTTAAAATGTTATTTTGCTGTTTCCTTTTCTGTATTATAGTGGGAGTCAGGAATAATAAACCGATTTGTTTAATTCATTTCCAAGCAAGGGTAAGAAAAGATCCTTTTGGATGAAGTATCCAGAGTTATGGAAGTCATGAAACTTCCATTCACCTAACTTGAGAAGGATTTAAAATATCAGAATGTCCTCTGTATTCCACCAGTTGATCATTCCCCCTTCCCCAGAAGTTGAAACATAACATTATGTTTTAAGAGAAAGTTATCATTATTAATAGTTCATTTTGCTGAAGCTTAGTTATGTATTAATTTAAATGAAACAATAAATCTGTATGTTTATAAAACTATAGTTTTTAGGCTATTTCTAAATTGTGTTAAATGATATCTGGAGGATAAGAACTAAAATCAAATACAGTACACTATCTTTGCTTCTCTAATAACAACATCTAGCGTTAAATTCTGCTCTCAGATACAACTGACATAGTTACCCATACTACATTTACGGTGTCAATAAGAATGTCATTGTTTGAGATTTAAATAATTGCAAGAGAGCAGAATTTGCCCTTTGTACCTAAACAATATTTTAATACCAAATACAAACTTGAGACTAATTTCTGATATCCATCAAAAACCAAATCCAACCGAGTATGCAATCTCACTCAAATACATTAACTCTCAGTTTGGTCTAATGTCTTATTGACTGCATGAATATAAACCAGATCACAATTTGGCCCTGTCCTTCACAGGACTGAAAGCAACATCACTGAAATCACATGAAATCGTCATGTACTCCAGGTCTAGACTTGACTCAACATTTGAACACATGCTTTTACATCAATTAAATGGGCCACTTATTATCTCACTTCCTACTACAAATCTCATTCAATTCAATAAGTGAAGTCACACATGAACCTTAGAACATAGTGAACACAACGACAACTCTGGACATGAAAAGGAAATTTTATTAAACATGTTTACATAACATGAGTTGGGAGTTCATTTAAAAGCACAGGGGAGTGTTAAGACAAGTGGTCAAAATAGAAAGATACTACCGAATTATAATTAGTTGATTTTTGGCCACTAAGACAGAACAAAATCTAGTAGTAGTGCACCAATGCTTCAGTTCTTCCTGCTCAGCAGGTCGAGCAGTAATCAATCTATGCCCTATGGAACCATGGGCAGAATAGTTCTGGCATGTTAAATAATAATAAATAGTTCACTTGGTGCAGGCAGTATGTCTATGAATTAAAACCTAGTGTGCACAGAGTTTCTACATGTGTTACAGCCCCACAGTAGGAATCTACACCAAAATATTTATTAGAAGGAATTTGGTCCATACTACATCACGTTTTCCATAGGGTAAAAAATAAAGTCCATCTATAGACATTTAGCACCAGACTAACAGACCTTGCCTGGCTAAAACCTGCAAAATGTCTATAAGAAAAATGGATGGCTTAGATTTCTTGGTTACTTCAGTATAGTAATTACGAGCAAACTGTACAAGTACATGCAACATACAAGCTGGCCTATGTGGAACTAACATACATTATTAAATAACCTTTTTGCTTCTTTTTACAAAACGTGCATGCAGCTTTGAACAGTTCCAGGTCATGCTGCCCTATTTGTGTGATCACAAAATTGAATGGCCTGTAAAAGGAGGGAAAACATATAACTGAACCAACAGAGTCTGCAGTTTTTAGCACATTTACAGTTAATCACATGGGATTTCAAGGCCAAGAACTCAAATGAATAAAATGCAAATTGAAATTTGAGGGTTTTTTTTACCAAAAATGTAAGATATCTCGCGTTAAAAAATCAAGCTTTGTGCTTGCATCAATCTCAAAGAAATGTAAACTAAAATTTGATAAAAACATTAGTAAGTGCAGAATATTTCAACTGGCATTTCCAGTGAAATACTGAACAACTCATACCATGCTCTATCCAGGGCAGACATGTGTATCTAAAGTGACACACATCAGAGACACCTGGGTACAGCTAAAAGTGTCATATGCTCAACCCCATTCCTGGTCCACATTTTGGGAAGTCAAATATACATTTGTACACATGGACGTAAATACTTCCTCTCTGAGTTTAGGAAGAAAACTGCATTACCAGTAATATTTTCAGTGTCAAAATTAAGACTAAAGCTGCTTTTATCAGACCCCAGCATCAGTTGCAGATAGATTTCTTCAAAACTCTCCCATGCAAAACAACATAAAAAACATTATATATAATGCAAACATATTTGCTTTTTACAAAGAAAAACTAGCACTGTGGTTTTGTTGTTGTTGTTGTTAATGAAATGATCTGGATTGGTCATTTGTTCTGGGTTTTCACCTGAAAGACTTGGAAGAACCAGAACTAAGAAGCAATGAGGACCTTAGTGGCATCATGTATGATAATTCTGGCTGTTGAACACTGGAAGGGATACTTACAGAGATATAGTTCAGCCCTTTTTTGTTTGGTTTAGAAAACGAAAGGAAGGGTCTCTGTTAGCATTGTGAGGACTTTTACAAAACTGGCAGAATCACACAGCAAAAAACTAGTGAAAGTAACAGGTACAGAAAAACTGCTGAAACACCAGGAGGTTAACACTGCTAGTGGGCTCTGTCAAAATGTGGAAAAATACAGCACTTAACAGAGTGAGAGCTTCCAGTTTTGTTTTATTTTATTCTAATCTAAAGATCCCCCTCTTTTTAAAAATTGTAATAAGCATCAGTGACTGCCGCTAGTAGATTGAACTTACTGTATTTGATATACTACTTTGTTCTGGTAATTTAAGCCATCTTTTTAACAAATAATTTAGACATATTTTGGATAACTACTACAGGCAAAAACAGAAGTGATTGTCTCTCTCCAACAATGTTTTTGATCATATACGAATATGGTTCTGATTGTTATCCTGGGTGGTAACATTTTTATTAGATAGCATCTGCTATAAGTTCACTAAGATCTAATGCAGGGAGGCCCAGTTGAACTTTCCAGAGATGACTGGGAAGCCCTGCGGGTCAGGGGAGTCAAGGTTGGATCCACTAACGATGAGGGTGGAAATAATTTATACCATCCTATTACTACACTGGACAGATCAAGTTCCTCCAGAAGGATTTGTGCAACACCCATGAAGCATTTGTGATCCATTCGGCCATAGTCTCCCCAAACTATCACCTGTAAGGACATGAAATACAGATTTAACATTTCCAAAGAATATACACTTGTATGTTCATTCATGTGGCAACTCACTATCTCCATGAATAGGATGAGTATTTTTTTAAAGACGAGATGGGAAAACTCAGTTAGGGATTAGGGCCATAGACATCAATAGAGAAAAACTTCTAATAAGGCCACATAGATCCATTTTGGGAGTCTGATGACATTACAAACTACTCAAACATACTAACTGACATTTCTGAAATTAAGTACTGGGACTGGGACTACTCACAGTCTTTAAAGTTAAGATTGCTCAAGAGCTTTACCAACTCAGGGCCTAAATCAAAATTAAGTAATTACTGACCTGGAGGACTTTACCCTGTGGACTTTCATCAAAAACCAGTGTCTGTTGGTACAAAGGATCAAGTGTTTTCCGTGCAATTCTTGTCTTTTTCTTGGCTACACAGGCTCCATTTTCCAACAGGTATACTTTAACATAGGGAGCTGCAAAAATCGAACACCACCAATTTTATGTTTGGACTTAAGCATTTCCCAGTGTTGAACCACTGAGCTAGAGGACAAGAACAATGAAAGGAAACTAACTAGAAAGAAAAGTGGACATAATTACTTTCATTTGCCACCCTGAGTTGAATTTCAAACAATAAGCAAGCATTTTAGATGATGAAAAGTCAATTGAATATTTACTAGGTTTTGGTTATCATCAAAAGTATTATTAGAGAGGAATGTTGAGTGAGGTAATATCTTTTATTGGATATTCTGTTGGTGAGAGAGAGACAAGCTTGGTCCAATAAAATATATTACCTCACACACCTTATCTCTTTAATATCCTGGGACTAACACAGTTACAACAACAGTGTATAAGTTATTATTAGCTACATATGTCTTAGATTTAGCTTGTAAGTATATTTTAACATGTGTGTCCCATGAACGGGATATTATTAACAATGTGGATAGACAGTTTGATGCAACTCCATGTGTTAGGAGTTTAAATCCATCTGAAAATAAAAGGCTGACATTTCTATGAACTGAGGCAGTTGTTCCTATTTAATTTGTCTCAAATGTTTTTAAAGTAACATCTCAGCAAATATTAATCTGAAATCTATATTCTAATTATTATGATAAACAGTCCTGGTCCTGGAAAACAAAAATGTTTTCCAGCAAAGACTTCTTAAAAAAGAGGTTTTTATTATAACAATAATTTAATTTATTCCAATTAAGATCAAATGTTTGAGCTCACAGGCACTGGTACAGTTTGCTGATTTATTCATTGTGCTTGTTATTCCCTTTCACCTGATCTTACACTTTTGTAGAAGGAAATAAACAAATGCAGAAATAATAATTTAAGGGACTCCTCATGCATCACCAATGCATGGTACAATGTATCTAGATTTGATTGTTTTAATTATTTTGATGGATAATATCAGTTTCTTTTGACTTTTCCCCCCAATTTATATCAATTTAAATTTTCACAGTTTTCAAAAACTATGTGTTTTAAGCATTTTTCTCAGTAGTTATCAACGTTTGCAGGACATGATGAAGGTGGGAAGCAGATTAAAATTACCTAATTAGCATAGACACTGAGAACCATTACAACACAAATTATCAGTATCACATGTCAAAATATACTATATAATATCCTTTAAATCAAAGTCTAATAAATTCTCATGAAGCATTTTTCTTACTTTGGCTATTTGTGATTATTTCTGATAGTTTTTTTTGGTTTATATGTGTTCTGAGAAATCGATATGAATCAACATTTACCAGTAAAAATCTAATCTCTTCAAGCCCTAATGAAACAAATCCCTAGACATGCTGAACACCACTAGCAGACATTCCTTCTAGCAAGGATTTTTCAGCCTCAGAAATGTTGATTTGACATGTGAGAGGGGAGCACTCTGAATTTAAATTGTGTGCAGAGGGAGAAATTGAACATGGGCAGAGTAAATATTTCTAAATTCATATCTCTATTGAAAAACAAACTAAATATATGAAAATGTAGTGACTGCTACAAAGAGCTGAGAAGTTCTTTTTGGCGATCTTTGGGCACACTTTACTGCATATTTCTGTCCTCCATCATTTGCAGTTTTCCTCACCTGGGGTAGATTTTGAGCCAGGTTTTTGTGTGAGGCCTCGGGCTCTAATGACTTCTACTTCTAACTGGCCTTTTTTATCCACCATTCCAATCTGAATATCACCTGAAAGGCAAGGAGAAAAAAAAGCTTATTCCATTATCTGAGTCATCTTAGTGCAGATCCCACCACAGTCAGTTGTCATCACTCAGGCAATTCTTTAGAGTGTCATTATTAGGGCTGTCAAGTGATTAAAAAAAATAATCACGATTACTCACGTGATTAGTTGCGTGCACTGCCCCTTTGAAATGCTTTAGCGGCATTTTCAAGGGACAGTGCTGCGCTAACCCAGGATTAGCTGGAGTCCTCAGCTGACCCCAGGCTCAGTGCAGTTGCCCTTTGGAAAGGCCACCCCGGTATTTCCAAAGGGCAGCTATTCAGAAGCCCAGGGTCAGCTGAAGTCCCCAGTTGGCCGTGGCTCCATGCCTCGCTGCCCTTTGGAAACGCCGCCTCTGAGTTTTCAATGGGCAGCACCACGGGACCCTGGGGTCAGCTGGAGTCCCCAGCTGACCCCGGGCTCTGTGCAGCGCTGCCCCTTTGAAGCACCGGAGTGGCACTTCAAAGGGGCAGCACAGCATTAATCTGATCCTGGGCTCTGCCTTGCACTGACCTTTGAAGTGCTGTCCCAGCGCCTCAAAGGGGAAGCGCATTAGGAGCTCAGGATCAGCAGGAGTGCCCAGCTGATCCTCAGCTCCCCATTGCACTGCCCCTTTGAAAAGCTGGACTGGGATTTGCATGGAGCCTAGAGTCATCTGGGGACTCCAGCTTATTCTAGGCTCCTAATGCGCTGCCCCTTTGAAGCACCAGAGCAGCGCTTCAAAGAGGCAGCGCGGCTTTAACACCTGTGATTAACGTGTTAAAAAAATTAATGTGTTAATCCATCCCTATCAATTGATAGCCCTAGTCATTATTATTATTTATTATTGCACTATGGCAGCATCTTGAGCCTCCAGTTCAGCTTTGATCCAGGTATAAGAGAAGAGATACAACGAGATGGAAGGAGCACAAGGTAACAGTGTGACTGCATATGTTGCAGGTCTTTCTTTCAGAAAGAAGAACACCAGATGAGTGGGCTGCATCTGTCTAGTCAACGACTAAGTTCTCTGAGGCTCACCAAAAAAAAAAAAAATCTTTTCACAAAAAAATTATTTAATGAAGGCAGCTGAGTGACAGTTCTCTTTCTGAACAACACTTTGCACAAACATCTGCCAGAATGTTAAGGGAATAAAATTTCCAGGCTGCTTTCTCAGTTCTGAATGTTCTGGCAAATGACAAACTCTGGCTACAGCTGGAGACAAGAAAATTTACCAAGTCTGGGTCCAAGTGCTGATCTGACTTGAAAAGAACGATTCTAAATGAAAAAAGACACTTATGTTCAGATCCACAAAAGAACTTACATACCTAAAGTGGAAGTTAGGCACCTAAGTCAAAAAATTTAGGTGCCACTGAAATCCCCCCACCTCCTACTAAGCTGCTACCTAGGTGGGGAGGTACCCAAAAATCTTTCAGTGCCTGCATTTTCATAGGTACTCTAGAATCACAGAATGCAGCCTCTCCCCGAGTTACGAACGAGTTACAGACCAAACACTTGGCCATAAATCTATCTGTTCATAACTCGGACCCCATTGAGTTACATAGCAACCACGCTGTTTGTAAGCATGGATTGCGTTCGTAATTTGGGGACCTCTTTACGATCGCTCCATGGGAGCTTTGGTCATAAATGCGAACGATCGTAAGTAGACCGTTTGCAACTCGGGGACCGGCTGTAGTAGAACTAGAAGGCACCTTGAGAGGTCATCAAGTCCAGTCCTCTGCCCTCATAACAGGACCAAGCACCATTCTAGATCATCCCTGATAGACGTCTATCTAACCTGCTCAGCCTTCCTACCCAATCCTACATATACTTTTCCTACTTGATGTGGTCTTCGGGCAAAAAAAGTGTGCCCACCTCTGCTCAACAGCAATGGTTAGGGCTCTCCTCTGAGAGGTGTGAAATCCATGTTCAAACCTCTTTTCCTCCTCAGGCAAAGAGGGAGTTTGATCCAGGGTCTGTTGCATCTCAAGTGAGTTCCCTCACAACCAATGGAAGGGCAGGCTCTCACTGTAGTTAGGCATGAATGTGCCTGCAATTCTTGCAAGAAGTGGCTCAGGAGCTAATTCCCTGAGAGTTGGGGGGCTTAGGACACACCCCTCTCCTTTGCAGTGCATAGTCAACCTGTGGAACTCCTTGCCAGAGGATGTTGCAAAGATCAGGACTTTAACAGGATTAAAAAAAGAACTAGATAAATTCATAGAGGTTAGGTCCATCAATGGCTATTAGCCAGAATGGGTAAGAATGGTGTCCCTATTCTTTGTTTAACTAAGGCTGGAAATGGATGACAGGAGAAGGATCACTCAATTACCTGTTCTCTTCAATCCTTCTGCGCATGTGGCATTGGTCACTGTCAGAAGACAAGATACTGGACTAGATGGACCTTAGGTCTGACCCAGCATGGCCATTCTTATGTTCTTATTTGCTATTGGCTATGTTAGGTGACTTCGTGCCTAATGTGATGGGTTTTGATTATGCATTCTGAGTCACCTATTTGCCACTATTCATTGCAGAGGCAGCTGAGGCACCTAATTTATGGTTTCTATTGGGTGGCTAGGCACCTACAAGTTCAATTTTGTGACATTGATTGTTGGTGGCTTTGTGCCTTGGATATTGTGGGTCTGATTTTTAAACCATGAGAAATCTAGGGCTGCATAAAAGTCACCAAGACTGATCATGAAAATGGATAGAGAGTTACCTACTTAGCTGCATAGGCACTCAACTACCTCACTGGACATGTGCAATTGTAGTGATTATGAAAGCAAATGGAATTCCCACCTATGCAGGTCCCTGACCTAAACATGTGTGACATTTAGGTCCATGTTTCTAAGCAAAGACTGGTGACTAAACTTGAGCTACTGAATTTGCTGTATTCTTAATGATAAAAGTATTATTGTTCATGTAATTGAAAAGGAGACCTTAGCATGCTTGTTCCACTAACAGAATATTATTGCCCAGAACTACTCTAGCACTTGAGATATGACAAGCCAAGGAGGGATGATTTGTTATCTATCAAAACTTTGCTTCAACAAACACAGCTCTGTATTGGGCTAAAAATAGTATAGAGGAAAATTCCACAAACTGTGCTCTTGGGATACATTTCAGTGCTGAAAACCTGGATATTCAAATCCAGTCTATGCTGCTGGCGGTCAGCCGGGGGTGCTGTAACACAGACGTTTTCAAACCAGCTTAGATGACTATCTACTTGGTATAAGCTCTTGCAGAGAAATTGTTTGGTATAACGATTGAGTGAGTTTTGCAGTCTGTAGACATAAAGGCTCCAATAGATGGAAATAAACTGTTGGCACTCAGAAGCCCTGTTGGAAGAGGTCTAGGAAGGAAAACAACTTTTAAGCAAAAAGCAAGGTGAATGGAAGCTAGCACCTGGATTCACTACTGCATGCATCCTGATTTTAAAATGGACAGCAGAAGAACACAGATACTTCTTATTTTCTATAAAAAGGAAAGCTGACGGATTTTAATGGGGGTTATAACACTGTACAGGCTTCATGCTCAATAAGCTCATAGCCATATAACTCCTATTGCAAAATATAACTAAATTTGGATGTATATAGCAGCTCATGGCTTCTCCTTCTTTTATAGATCTTATGAGCTCCTGGTTCCCTGCTTCTCCTCAGTAGCATTTGAACAGCTTCCTGAGCCTGAGTTCCTGCCGTGCTTAAAGCGCTTGCTATCTGTGATTTTTAACTTGCACAATGGGATTAGGCTTGTGGAGATTATCAAGGGATTATTTATTTTTATCCTCAATGTGCAGCCCTGCAAAATATGTCACCAAATCACTCAGCTGTAGACCAATGGGATTTTGCCCCTGCTCCTGCCATTATACACTGCTGCAGTGGTGCATGTATGTCGTAAACAGCCTGCAAGAGCCTGGGGGAAGAATTTCTCCACTGAAGGCTGAGCACAAAACCATCATAATGACTTGCCCATGCAGGGCTCCCCATATGTTTCCATGCAGGGAGTGTGGAGTGAGGGGTATAGGGTTGGGTGTATTCCTGGAGCAGTGGTGCAAATGGGCCAGTACAGTTCAGTACGTCAAACTGGCAAGTCATTTTTTACCAGTACTGCATAAAGACTCCCTGTCAGCAGCCCTCCACTAGCTGCTGTGTCTCTGTGTACAGGGCTAGGGCCTGGTGGCAATGCTGGAAGTGAATACATGAAACATGGTACTCACAGACTTTACTTAATGGGACTTCTGCTGCTGCCTCTTTTCACACATTTCTTTTAAGTTTACATAACTGGTCAAATCCAATGTCATGCATGCAATCAGGCTGTCTTCTGTCACTCTTATGACAGGAGGCTAGTGATGTGGGGGTGCAGGAGACAGGGTTAGGGTGTACAAGAGGCTCAGGGCAGGAGATTGGGTGCATGATGGACTCAGGGCACAAGGTTGGGGTGTGTGGAGGTGCAAGAGTGTTATGGCAGGGGACTGGTGATGTGGGGGTGCAGGAGTCTGTGGATGTGAGAATATGAGGGGCTCAGGGCAGAGGGTTAAGGCGTATGATGGGCTCAAGGTTAGTGCGTGGGGGAGGGGTGCAGGAGTGGTATGATGCTGCAGTCAGATGGGGGAGAGAGGACTGAGGTTCAAGACCTCAGGACAGATTTACACTTCCACACTTGGATCTGAGTTGGGGCCAAGAATGAGGGATTAAGTGTGCAGGACTGGGCTACCAGTGAATGGGATAGGGATAAGAGTGCAGGATCTGAGCAGGAGGAGGAGGAGCAGTGAGGGTGTGAGGTCTGGCCATGGGGCAGGCTGCCTGGCCATGGAGCAGGAGCGGGCAGGAGGCTGGCC